CCCAGAGACAATTTCTCTGAGGGGTCGCGACCAGCTGTTGCGACCCCTGGAAAAACAATGGCGGCCATTAGGCCGCCTGCTCCAACTGCCGCGGCTGTAGGCCGCAGCTTTTCGTCGCCGGCACGGCTAGGAGGCCGCGCCGGTGATTTCTTAATGCCAGCGGCGCAAACACGGCCGCCGGCCTGATTTCAAAGTATTCAGTTTCTTTTTGCGTCCATATAAACTGAATCCATAAAAAAACAGATAACTCTAATTCCAGAAAAAATATGTATATATAATGTATTTTCATGTACAGTCTGACGATATCAATGAAATCATAAACCAAATTCGTATACATATTTTCCCGAAAACATATGAATTGACTTTATATATATAATCTGTTGTTGCCCGAAATTTCAAATGCACAAAAGATTTAATCAAAATTTATATGGTTGCAATTCAATAATTCAATATAATAACTGCTCTGATATCACTTGTTAGAAATAAATTCTTTATTGATGAAAACCTTCATCATGCCAAGATCCGCCATGTCAAATCATCAAGAATAATAGACTAAATGTAGAAGTGTACCTGAATCCATGTGAACGGATGTGATTCCTGAATCTTACGGTTCTTGATCTTCCAAATTAGTCCGTATGAATGTCTTGAGAATGAACTCTCACTTTTTAATGATGGGAAGTCAGAAAAGTTTTCATACGTTTTAATTTGGGGACCACAACCATTTATATAGAAGTTAACTACATGTTAACTTTCATTATTTCTAATTTAGCCCATTATAAAATAAGAAATAATGATTTAGTTTCTACACATATTAGACCAACACTTGTTAGATGCATTAAAACCCAAAATACCTAAAATCTTATTTGATCATTGATATCATATAATACACAATTATTATTATATATGTATATAGGCACGTCCAAAATCTAACACTTATACATTAAATTTGTAGCCACAGCTCCATCTTACATTGAGATTGCAGTGCGTATTACATAATAGATCAGACAAAGATGGCGATATTATTTATTTATTTATTCGACATAAAATGAAAACACGCATAAAATGGAAACACGCTTACGTAGGAGATGATGAAATTAAAGAAGATAGATGGCACGAACAAGTTAAAAGTAGGGCAAGGCAATCTGAACTCAACAATCTCTTTTGGCAATGCAAAGTTGGCCAGTCATGTGCCAACTTTCGCCTCCACCAGGATGCACATAGGGGCATGTGGGAGCGAAGAACTGGCCTATATAGCGTTGAAGGTTCCACTGTGCATCCATGTCAACAGGTGGGAACATGCTGGTCCAACTAACAGTGGAATACTCGAATCTACTATGTGTGGCTCGTTTGAACGTTTTCAAATCCTCCTGATTCATGTCATTGCAGTCGAAATCGAAAATGAAGACATCCCCATAAGGCCTGACAGAGTGCACGAAGAGAGGCAGAGAAGTGGGATCCACAGAAACTGCGGCAAGATCCGATGTCACAACGATGCTTTTTCCGTCCGGACTGAAGAATGGGTGGTTCACATGCCCTGCAAGGTCATAACCACTCCCTGCCACTCTTACCACCGCCGACGGGTTGCTTGTATTCACTAAATACACTGCAAAGTATCCTGGGTCGAGACCATTGTCGAAGTTTTCTTTTTTATATTGATCCGCCCCGTAAGGATTTTCACGGCTTGAAGAGAACACTATCCAATCTCCATTTGGGGACCATTGGCAATGTGTGTCTGTCCATTTGCCTTCTGTTAGCCTTGTTAAACACCCATCTTCCCCTGATTGTGCGTCCATTATGTATAGATTCTTATATTTTTCACTCCCTCCATTTCTTGTGGATCGATAAACTAATTGGGTCCCTGTTACAAGCACAAGTTTCAACCCATTCATATATTATCAATTTGTCAATTAAAAATGACTATATATATATGTATATATAAGGAGTAATTATACTTAGCGCCGATTACTTGCTAATGGAGGAAATTAATCAAGTTAATTACCTTGTTTATTTACCAAAAGAAATTTGGTTAGTTACCTTCTATATTGGTGGACGCGAAGGCATTATTGAAATCTCCTGTTGTGAGCGTTTTAAGTTTCGGATTATCAGTAGTGGACACGTTGATGAGGGCGGCGATGTCTAGTTTGTCATTAGGGCTGAAAGCGGGTCCCACGCACACGTACAGTGTATCCTTTTCTGGATTTCGGTTCCAAACCGTCGCAAAGAGGCTGTTTGGTTTGCCCGCCTGCATGAACAAATTAAAATTAGTACGTACTCTGAACACACTTAAAACTATATAAATAAATAGTAATGCTAAATATTTATATATGAGAATGAATATTAATCTAGTTAGTAATTACATATACATACATCGTAAACAACACGCAAGCCAGATGCATCGGCTAACCAGACGGCCTTGAACTCATTGTCAACAAATGCAAGCTTAGAGCCATCTTCGGAAAATGTTGGAAACACTCCAGGAACCCTAACCAGTTGTATGGCTGGATCCGCAGACTTGAGCTTGTGGAACCGCCTTGTGATACCGTCCTGACTCTGTCACAACTCACAATGAATTAGCTACTACTACTTCCGGATAATTAATTGTATTAATTTGTAGCTAGTTAGGCTCTCATAATAATTAGTCAAGTAGCGCGCGCGCATATATATATATATATATATATATATATATGATATGTGTATCTATACATGCATGCATACATACATATATATATTTGATCGAGGAATTCAAAGTGGCTGGCAGTGGTACCTTGATGGTACGGCAACGATGGTAACCGATGCGCTTATTCTCACCAATAACATCAATCACAAAGGGGTTGAAATGGTCAGCCAATGGTCTGGTGTTTTGAGTGATTTTTATGTTGGATACTGTTTCTCCACTAGTTGCAGAATATTCAAATATCTCAATGTGCCGATACTGATCTTCTACACGGACATCATTGAAGCTTGATTTTTGACGAATAGTTGCCACTGCTACAGTGGTGCCGTTGATGGCTGCCGGAGTGATGGCGGTAATATCCTCCGGGGTTATACGAACAGGTGGTACGAGAGATCCGCCGATGTCGGCTCGGAACACACCCCAATAGTCCCCAACCTTGCGATGGAAAAATAGGACGTCTTCACTTCCCCATGTTGGCCACCCACCATCCGTTACAACCTTGTAGCGAGTTTGAATGGGATTGTCAATGTCAAACACATAAATGTTAGTCTCTAGATTTTCGATCTCGCCATCCCATCCGCGGTCCTTTCCCTCGAAGGACGCCACCGCTATCTTCCTTCCGGATGGTGACACGGAGGGGCTTAAATCAGCTTCCCCTGTTAGATGGAAAAACTAAATCAACTTAATTAATTAGTTAAAATAATTCGTTATATATCAAGGAAAATTAATTAGGTAGGAACCTGGGGGGGTGAGACGTTCAGTTTCTCCGGTGTTAAGATTGGTTTTATAAACGGCAGTCCAGGGTTGACGACGTTTAGGCGCGGGGTCCTTGGTGGTGACATAGATGAGATAATCACCGGCAACGCAACCGCTGTCTTCCATACGAACGCCACCGAATGTCGTTGTGCCGTAAATATCAGCCAAACTGAAGACTTTGACTTTGGGTTGTGTACTGTCATTGAAGCGGAGGGCTATGTGAAGCGTTTCGAGCTCGTAGTCGCCTCGTTCGGAGACGAAAAGAAAGCCCGAAAGACGACCTGAATCAACATCAGCGTCTTTGTAAAGGCCAAGTGAAACCAATTTCGGGCGGTTGAGAATCGTCTTGAGAGCCGCAGGTGGAATCTGTTGGCCGTTGTAGTTGTAGTTGTCGGACTCTAATTCCTTAGGATCAGTCCAGTGAATCTCATCGGCAATGGACTTGGGTGGAGGGTCCAGTGGGCACGAGTATATGTCCAGCGGAACCGGTGGCCGATAGGTTGCGAAGAATGCAATAAAGCCTCTCTTCTCTGTTGCCATGAATGATCACTCTACGATTTCTTTTCTTTTTGTTTTTTGTTTTTTTTTTGTCTGCTCAACTTAATTGTTTGTGAGGAAAGTTTCAGAGTAAGTTGGCAAACACTACACCTTGAAGATATATATATAGATCCCGGCTCAACTGTGTTAGTTTATAAAGCTATTTCAAAGAGGTCGATTAATATTAATTTTATACTTTAACACTTCTTCTCACGTATGAGTTAGGACACGTGAATATTTAAACCTTAAATATATTAAAAACTCAACATATTATGACAATTTAAATGAGAATAAAAAGTAAATGACGAAGATATATATATATTTATATATATATAGATCCCGGCTCGACTCCTCCAGTGTTTTTTAGTCTTTGTTTATTACAAATAACTGAAAGAGATTGCTAATGCCAAGTTGATGACGAACAATTAATGTGAAGACGTAAATTTAATATACAATAATCTTTGGCCCTTTGTCCAAATTCACATGGTCGCTATCAATTTCAACTAAAACAACCCATGACCTGGTTGCTCAAGAACCAAACAAGCGAGTTCGGTAAGCTATGGAGATATAAGCCTCTACATGTAAATAATATTAAGAGAAAAAATAAAAAGGATAATAGGTAAAAAAAATTAAAAAAATTAAAAAAAGAGGAAAAGTTTAAAAAATAAGAAAAAAAAGAAGAAAGAAGAGGCCAACACGTGACCTCCTAAATCGACTTAACCGCTTTTATAGACATTAGAGGTTACGTTAAATTAGATATACAGATAGTCTTGAAAAGAATAAACTATAAAAAAAACCCTTGACAAAATAAAATAAAACTACATTAAAAAAACAAAATAAGATTAGAAAAGAGAAAAACACAAGTAAAAAATAATTAAACTGTTAAAAACATTCATAAAATAAAAATAAAAGAAAAAACATATAAAAATAATAAATAATAAAAGTGGAAAAAGTAGAAAAGAATAAAAAAAAAAAGGAGGGTGCAAAGCTATCACATGTCATCTTGAAAAGTGTTTTGAGGAAGCACTATAGAAAAAAGTGTGTAAAAGATAACTTTTGATATAACATGAATTTACAGAAAATAATTCACTTAAAAAAAATTATTTTAACCGTTGAAAAAAAATTAAATAAAAATACATGCAAAAAAATTATGTTTATTGAAGAAAAGTTAGCAACTTTAAAAAAAAAAAAAGAAATTAGCAAAAAGTTTAAAAGCAAAAGGAATAAAGATAAAAATGTAAAAAAAGAAAAAAATGGAGGGAAGAAGCTGCACATGGCAGCCTAATAAGAGAATACTATTTAAGAGCTTTTAGCTCTTTTATGTATTGTTTTATGTTAAATTGGATATACAGATAGTCTTGAAAAGAATAAATTATAAAAGAACCCTGACAAAATAAAACAAAACTACATTAAAAAATAAAATAAGATTAGAAAAGAGAAAAACACAGATAAAAACAATTAAACTGTAAAAAATATTCATAAAATAAAAATAAAAGAAAAAAAGAAAAAAATAATAAATAATAAAAGTGGAAAAAGTAGAAAAGAATAAAAAGAAAAAAAAAGGGGTGCAAAGCTGTCACATGTCATCCTAAAAAGTAGTCTTAGGTAGCACTATAGAAAAAAGTGTGTAAAATATAACTTTTGATATAACATGAATTTATAAAAAATTATTTATTTAAAAAAAATATTTTAACCGTTGAAAACAATATTAAATAGAAACACATGTAAAAGAATTATGTTTATTGGAGAAAAGTTAGCAATTTTTTTAAAAAAAGAAATTTCTTAAACAAAAAAATAATAAAGAAAAAATTTAAAAGCAAAAGGAATAAAGATAAAAATGTAAAAAAAAAAAAGAAAAAATGAAGGAAGAAAGAAGCTGCCACATGGCAGCCTAATAGGAGAATACTATTCAAGAGCTTTTAGCTCTTTTATATATTGTTTTATGTAAAATAAAAAATAAAAAAATAAATTTAAAAGAATAAAGAAAAAAATGTAAAAAAGGAAAAAAAAAAAAAAAAAAAAAGAGGAGGAGAAGCCACCACTAGGAGAGTACCATTCAAGAGTTACGCAAATGTCCTATACATTTTTATGTAAATATCCTCTATTAATTGGTTTTTTGCTGCCACTTAAGCACTTCCGTCAATTTGATACAAGGAAGTGAACAGAGGAGGTCATTTGACTTACTTTTTATATGTCAAGGGCCATTTTGAGCGAATTTAAAAAATCAGAAGGTACTTTAAAATATGGTACATAGTTGAGGGCAATTATGGAAATAATTTTTTTTAACTAAAATTCATACATTATGTCTTTATCTATTAAAAAAAAAGTTCATAACTTTTATGTCGGTAGTCATTTTATAATTATAAATGCTTAAAAAAAATTTCTATTCTTAAAAAAATGATTAATAACAAAATAAAATAACGTAATGATATTTGACTTCAAATAAAAGAACATATAGGATTTATTTACCGATACCGCACTCACGTCTAAAGCATCATCACTAGTATATTAGAAGAGCTAAAAATATTGTCTTGAAAGAAAAATAAAAAAATATAAATAAAAAAACTTGTTTGTTCGTCTCATTATACAACTAATATAAACGTGTACCTTGTCAACTTGATTTATAAAAATACTTGTAATGGAAAACGAATCTCAATGGTATTGAAAATGTCATGTAACAACATGTTCAAACTTGTAAAGAAAGTTACAAAATGAATCATGAATCTCTTAAGGTGAGAGAGTCAGGATAAGATAAATGCATTTTTGCATCGTCTAAGGAAGGTTATAAGTCACGATATGAGGCCTTTAAAAAACTCAAAAACCTTACGGACTTAGGTCCAAAACAAATAATATCATACCAAATAAAAATTAAAATTGATACATAACTAATTATACGATATGAAGAGGATGTGTCATGATTTTTAAGTGTGAATTGACTCTTGCCACAACTGTATGAACATTCAGCTTCTCTCCCCCCCTACGTTCTCTTTCTCCCTCTCTCCGTCTCTCTTCTCAAGCCTTCCTAATTATCTCTCTCTCCTCATACCTTCTCTTTCTTTCTCTCTCCCCTTCTCCCTTCTCCACCCGCCACACTAACGTAACCAACATTTTTTCTTGCAGTAGTGGCATTAAGGTAACCAACCTATCTTTTTTACTACATATATCACATCAAAACTACATATTTTTCTTGTGAGGACATATAATACACGCCATGGTCATTAGTCAATTAAAATATATCTTACCATGGAGATAAGAACAAGCTAGTTCGGTATATATGGAATGTGTATTGGTAATACACGCCATGGTCCTTAGTCAACTAAAATGTATCTTATTATGGAGATAAAGACAAGCCAATTCGGTATATGAGAAATGTGTATTGATAATACGTATGAAAACACTTTTTTAAAATAAGCGTTATCTTAATAAATATATTAGATAAAATTAAAATAGAAAAAAAAGATCATTTCCTTAATTAGTCCATCATTAATTGATCATAGCAGTCAATGTTTAATATTATAAATGATTTATTGGACTACAACAAATATAATAATAAATTATATATATGGTTTTTTTTTTTTAAAAAACTTTTTAATTTAAATGTTGCTTGTTTTTGGTAAATTGTCTGTGTTCTAAAATGTTTTGCGGAGGTGTAAAGGGTAAAAACAAATCCGAATTGCACATCATTTACACACAATAATGAACAACAATTTATAAAGATATTTGAACAGTCCACTTCTAATATGAATGTTTAAATCCTTAAAAAGTCTAAATTTTATCATGGTATTAGAGTCTAATCAAATTAAATGAACGGCTCAATCTATCCAATACAAAATTGGCGACTCCAAAGAGAATACCATCTTGTGAGGACATATAGATTAAGATAAAAATAAACCCGAGTCCAACCTCTTTTACATACAATAATACCAACTTGTAAAGACATTAAATAACTCCACTTAATTAACAGTTGACCTTTTAAGATGGAACCTCTCAAATTCATAAAAAGTTTAAATTCCATCAGGAGGAAATATAAACAACTGACAAAACTCCAAAGTCCTAAAACAAAACAACTTGTAAGTACCATTCTGATTTAGTATTTATTTATTTATTTTTCAACTGGCCTCGATGCAATATATTGAATATATTCGTTGTTGCCCTGTGTTGCTTTGGACGCCCCTCCGTTAAATACTAGTTAATTTGTAGGAAAGCCTACTACTTTAATGATTAAACTTGAACCCTAGATGGATAATGTTACAAAAGAGCTCGAAAGAAAGCTAGTGAACCTGACTTAGGGACTGCTTGACTTTACTTTTGGAGGCTATTTTTAGCTTTTTAAGAATCTACAACAGTTAAGGTTTTGACGAGCAATTTTTAAAAATTATTTCCCCATAACAGAATTTGAGAAGCACATCAACGGTTATTTTTGTACAGTAACTTATGCGGTTATTGTCCACATTTACTAAAATAACACTGATAATAATAAATTATATATATGGTTTTTTTTAAAAACTTTATTTCAAATATTAGAGAAAAACAAAAATAGGAATTTACACAAGTTACTTTATTGAATACAAAAATAGGAATTCGAGAGTTACGCAAATGCCCTACACATTTTTACGTAAATACCCTCAATTAATTGATTTTTTATTGCCACTTAAGCACTTCCGTCAATTTGATACACTGGAGTGAATAGAGGGGGTCATTTGACTTAGTTTTTATATGTCAAGGCCCATTTTGAGCGATTTTAAAATATCAGAGAGTACTTTAAAATATGGTACATAATTGAGGGCAATTATAGAAATAATCTTTTTTTAACTCAAATTCATACATTATGTCTTTATCTATTAAAAAAAAGTTCATAACTTTTTTGTCGGTAGTCATTTTGTAATTATAAATGCTTAAAAAAATTTTCTATTATTCTTAAAAAGAAAAATAATTAATAACAAAATAAAATAACGTAATGATATTTGACTTCAAATAAAAAAACATACAGGATTTATTTTATT